TCTTGGAGACTTGTGCAAGAACCAAGGGTCCGAACTGGTGAAGGCCTTGATTGTCTGTCACAGAGATGTCTCCGAGGTAATGGGATGTGCAGACCATATCTGATTTCAGAAGCTTCCCTCCATAATTGCAGTCAAGGAGCAATTACTGTGAAGAGCCATAGGGGAGCCTGGGTCTTGTGAGGGTGGATGCTACCGGAGCATGTAGGCCAGCAAAGGTGTAAGGTCAAAGGATGACCAAGCATATCCAAAACAAGATTGTAGTACAAGATACTTCCGTAGCAGCTGCTGTAGAGAGCAGGATGAATAGCCTCTTCCATAATTGTTGAAGCGGTTTCCCCACTTCAAGTTAGATCCGAAGCGTGTACCGGACACAAAGATAAGTCTTCGCGATCGTCTGGGTTGGTAAATAACCAATCAGGTTGACTTTTGATTTTTGGCGATGAAATCCCATCGTAGCCCAATGTAAGGTTTATATGTAAGGTACGTTCAAAACTTACTCTGTTGACTTCTAATGTACTCAACCCGCCTTTGCATGGGCCAGAAGAAATACTGTATCAATGTAATGTGTTCGAAATGATGAGTAGGCGAACGATTGTCGGATCATCTGTCATAGGATGAGTAGCATTCCGTAGGTGAACGTTGATCTGTAGAGGTTCGACAAGTCTTAGGAGAGTATCGGTCTTTTGAAGATCCCCGATCCTTGGAGGTTTGACAAGGCTTTGAGTCTTGTCGAACCTCCTCTGAAGTGTGTCGATCCTCAAAGTCTGTCTAACCTTCGATGTATGCTGTGTTCCCAAAGAGGTTCGGTCAGGTGATGTTCTTCGGAAGTAAGCTTATTCCCCGTAGTGGTTTGATCCGATGATGTTCGTCGAACCTTCAAAGGGTGGTGATTCAGCAAGTGGTCTCGATGCTTTGAGGTGTGAGAGGTTTGCCGGTGCCAAGTTTGGCAAACCTCTGACTAAAGATCACAATCTGGTGGGGGCCGACGCTTCGATGGTCAATTCTGTGTAAAGTGAAGTGACTGTAGATGATCAGTTGAGCATCGAGATTTAGATGTGATGAATGACGATCCTCATGCAACACCTCTTGAGAGTTGGAGGTTCGCAAACCCTGGTCAGATGAGTTATCAGACGAATCCATACGGTTGCTCTGTTAAGGTCTGGTTTAGCTAAGATGACTTAAAGGGGCACTGATCTAAAGCAATTCCCCGGGACTGGTTGTTGCCTTTGTTATTGTTTTTTCCACGTGAGTTACCGGATGATATGCAAAGCAACTGAGCGTGACAAGAGACTGGGCTACCATCTGCAAGGACAGCTAAATAAACTTGGAGGCAATATTTGTTTTACGCATTTTGGATAACTGATTGGTTAACCGTGATCTATAAAGATTTCGAAAAAGGGCGCATGTTAATTAATTTCTTCAGCCTAAACAAACAGACAAAAAGAATGGTGGAGCTCATCGGTTGTCGTCATATGGAAATACCCCTGATTGTTATAGTTTTTAAAAAGTATCCATGCAGTGAAAGCATTTTCGGATTTTGTATTGCATCGATAATACGATTACTACTCCCTTGTCGTCTTCCACGTTTTCCGGTATAACCCTACACTTGTGTATTTGTCGTCATTCACTTGATGCTCAGTTAATGAATTTATTACAGGTATAATTAGTAGTAGCACCACTCAGAATACCTGACGAAGGTTCCCATTTGGCATTTATTGTGTCTCGGGTAATTATTCAATCTAAATCCAGGTTTGAAGTGAGGTGAAATGTGTGTTATGTAATATGCACGTGGCAGCCCAGCAAGAGATGAATGATTGGTTGATTTACTTTTTTTGTAAATCAGCGGATCGTTCGTAGTCATCAAAGGATTAACAGAAAATACATTGATTGATTAATCACTGTTATCTCGCACGGTGGATATGTCAAAAGTGAGTGTTTACATGTCTAGGTTTCTAAAACAAAGGGAATACACTCACATCCTGGCGTGAAGTGCCGATGTAAAAACAACTTACTTTGTTCAAAGGGTTAACCGATTATACGTTGATTAATTGCTCATTGTTATCTAACTCAATGGATTATTTTAGGAACCGTGGACGTTATGAAAATAGTTGTCACGTGGGCTTTCTCAGCCGACCTTTGAGACTTGACGCCTATGTGAAACACCTGAAACAATCTAAGTGATCAGTTGAGAAAGGAACACGGGTTATAATATCACGAAACGATATATATATTTTAAAACATTTGATTGTTACAGAGACACATGGCATCGAATACGTTTCTTTGTACAGCTGCAGACGTTTGGGATATTGTTCCTTTGTGTGGATATTCACGGATACATTCCTCGAACAAGGAAGCTGCCTAAAATTATACACATAAATTTGGTAGGTTGTAATTATGATATTCGCATTTTGTTTTCCTTCATTTGCAGTAGTATTGGACAGATACATTCTTGTTCCTCTACGTCTTGGTTGGGAAATTCTTCGATGCACGATAGACGTTGTTTTCACAAGTCTTTTTTTGTAAGCGTGTATATATTACAGTCAATTTGTAAAATGCGATTCTCTCAGGCAATTTATAAAAATGTGTAAATATTTCAGTCATTGTGACTGAAAAATATTTCATTTCTTTAACAGATTGACCAAAATTGATTAAGACGATCAATAGGGCCTAAAAACATCACAATAGATTATTATGTAGGATTAGAAGCCAAACAATATAGAAATGTACTTTTGATCATAACATTTTCAGTCTCTTGGTGATGATATTAAACATAAAAATGTTTGGAATTTGTTGTCATAATAATACAGTTGGACATATTTTTCAGTCAATTTGTAAAATAACTGAATATTCACATTTTGACTGTAAAAATAAAAACACGATAAAATAAGCAATGCTCAGGTGAAATATTTACTTTGTGTTGCAAGTCAAAATAGTGTAATTGAAAATCGCACAATTACCAAGCAAGTGCTTTATTAAAACTTCGTCACCATTACCGATGCTTCCCACAAAGATACCTACATTTCCTTATTATTTCCAAAACTGTATTTCATTTTGTTGATCAATGTGACCATACGCCCTTATACTTTCAATAAAAGTGACAAATGCGCTTACGAATTGCGGAGCACAGGTTGCGAACTAGTCTAGGTTTCTGCTATATCATCCGGGTACTCACGGGAAAAAACAAAAACAAAGGCATCAACCAGTCCTGGGGAATTGCTTTAGATCAGTGCCCCTTCAAGGAGGTCGGTCACACCAGCGTCCGACGAAAGCACTCGGCAAACATTTGAGCCTCTGGAAGCTGGCTTTGAAGCTAGGTTCGTAGATATGGTCGACATGTCTACAGTGAGAGAGGAGTCAGACACTCCATCTACATCCAGCTAAAATATGGGACCGGTGGGGTTAGTAGTATCCTGGCCTGCTGGCAAGGAGGATCGGTCCAATGATGAAGCCTTCTTCGTGGAAATCCTTTTTAGACATTGTCACTTGAAGTGAGAGTCTGAATGAGAGACAACACATCGTCATACATACTGGTCGCGGTGAGGGCTGCTTGTCCATGATGAAAAGCCAGAAAAGGATATAAGCAAAGATCTGGCCAAAGGACGGATGTTGGCACTCAAGAGAGAAAAACGCATGCAAAATGGCAAAGCCAATGCAGGAAAGATGACTCAGAAGAAGGCGAATTGGCTAAGGAAAAAACCAATGGATTTCATGTAGATAAAACATGTCAACACTGTGTGGTGATTTGAATGAGTTGGCTGGTATAGACATGTGAGCGGCACAAGTAGGTCAACCAACATGCAAAGCGTGCATGACCCAGGTCAGGGAGGTGACCATGGCAATGTGAGATACCACTGGGTGAATAAACTTAAGAACCTGGAAAACTTTATTTCAGACACGTTTCCACTTAGGACCGAAAGAGAAATGCATAGTATGAGCTAGGGTAAGTTTAAAATTTGCTGTTTCTCTGAGCTTAATAGTTTTTTAAGAATATTTGTCTACATTGAAAAGAGGATGGACGGATGAACTATGGTCCCTTATCAACCGCCCCACTTCATGGCGGGAGATATAATCCAAATTTTAAATGTTATTCAACCTGCACATCAAATTTTAGAGTAATAGGTGAAAATTACATGTTTATGGATCAATATGGCTGCCATGACGATCGCATATAAATCTGATCAAAATTCAATGAGGACAATTCAGTGTTCAAGGCCTTGTAGTTTCATTGGATGTGTCAAAACTCTAAAAGATAACCATGGTGAACAGACAATGCGAAGAGGAAGATGCCAATCCCAGACTGCAGCAATTAGGGATAACTTCGGTATCTGGCTTAAAAAGTTAGCTGAAACAAGTGATTATTAATTGGTTGTGTATGTGACAAATCCTGTAGTGAGACTAAGTTACTGGCAATGTATTTCACTTAATCGTTTTGGCAGAATTTGGTCCAAAAATAATAATTATTATTTACCCCAAAATGATTACAGATGTCAGCTCTGAATACTCCATGGCATGAGCTCACTCAGTTGAATAAGCTGAAGCAACACAACAGAAAATAGAATATCAAATATCTGCTTAATAAGGCGGAGAACATTATTTGTCAAACCAACATTAAAACTTACACTTGCTGTTCTGTTCCTATTCAGCAGCCAGCTCCAGAGTAACAAACTTAACTTAGAGATCAAGAACAGTCACGTCTAGAAATCGCAATCCAGTTTTATCATGGAGCCTGGTGAAGACATCTTGCAGCATTCATCATCAAACAAATCCTATACACTGGTGAGCAGCGTTTCTTATCCTTGTTGAGGGCAGAAAATGTGTGCTGTCAAATCTTATGCCTACGTTCCATGACAGACATAATGAAATCATGAGAAATGGTGACAAAATTAAGCCATTTTCAATGAATATTCCACACAGACAGTTTCAGCTGTGGATATTTGATTTGATCATTCTTCTTACCTCTCATACATATTTCATACATCATTATTATAGTACAAGTTATATGGCAAACAAAATTTTATTTCATCACATTTTAATTATCAATTTGTGCCAATTCAACAATTTAGTATCAATGGAACATCTGATCAGCTGCTAGCATTTATATACTTACATATAATTATTTACAACAAAAGCCTAATATCTTTCTAAGGATGGAAAACAACTTGTGACAAAAAACCCCACAAATGATCAGTACATATGGAAACAAAACAATATCTCCAACCATTCCATTGAATGTCAGAAGAATCTCATAGTAACAGTTATTTATCCCTGATTTTCAGTTTGATAATGGTTCACAATGGTTGCACGTCTGGAGTCTGGACAGCATCCAGCATGTGGTCATCCACCACACTGTTTGCTTCAGGAACCTCAACTTCGGTGATTATTTCAGGAACTGAAGCATAGTTGGTGTTTCAGGAACAGGGGCATCTATTATGGTGCTTTTTGCAGGAACTGGGGCATCTCCTATGGTGCTTGTTTCAGGAATGGGATCATCTACTATGATGATTGTTTCAGGAACAGGGTCATCTACTATGATGATTGTTTCAGGAACGAGGCCATCTACTATGGTGCTTGTTTCAGGAACAGGGTCATCTACAATGGTGCTTGTTTTTTTAGGAACTGGGGCATCTACAATGGTGCTTGTTTTTTTAGGAACTGGGGCATCTACAATGGTGCTTGTTTCAGGAACAGGGTCAGCAACAATGGTGATTGTTTTTTGTAACTGGGGCATCTATTACGATGCTTGTTTCAGGAACTGGGGCATCTATTATGGTACTTGTTTCAGGAACAGGGTCATCTGCTGTGGTGCTTGTTTTAGGAACAGGGTCATCTATTATGATGCCTGTTTCGGGAACTGGGTCATATATTATGGTGCTTGTATCATGAACAGGGTCATCTACAATGGTAATTGTTTCAGGATCTGGGGCATCTAATATGGTGATTGTTTCGGGAGCGGGGTCATCTCGTATGATGCCTGTTTCAGGAACTGGGGCATCTATCATAGTGCTTGTATCATGAACAGGGTCATCTACAATGGTAATTGTTTCAGGATCTGAGGCATCTAATATGGTGATTGTTTCGGGAGCGGGGTCATCTCGTATGGTACTTGTTTCAGGAAAGGGGTCATCTACAATAGTGCGTGTTTCAGTAACCAGGGCATCTATTATGGTGCTTGTTTCAGGAACTGGGGCTTCTATTATGTTGCTTGTATCAGGAACAGGGTCATCTACTATGGTGTTTGTTTCAGGAACAGGGTCATCTACAATGGTGCTTGTTTCAGGAGCAGGGTCATCTACAATGGTGCTTGTTTCAGGAACAGGGTCAGCTACAATGGTGCTTGTTTCAGGAACTGGGGCTTCTATTATGGTGCTTGTATCAGGAACAGGATCATCTACTATGGTGCTTGTTTCAGGAACAGGGTCAGCTACAATGGTGCTTGTTTCAGGAGCAGGGTCATCTACAATGGTGCTTGTTTCAGGAACAGGGTCAGCTACAATGGTGCTTGTTTCAGGAACTGGGGCTTCTATTATGGTGCTTGTATCAGGAACAGGATCATCTACTATGGTGCTTGTTTCAGGAATGGAGTCATCTATTATGGTGCTTGTTTTAGGAACGGGGTCATCTACTATGGTGATTGTTTCAGGGACTTGGGCATCTAGTATGGTGATTGTTTTTTAGGAACTGGGCATCTACTATAGTGCTTGTATCAAGAACAGGGTCATCTAGAATGGTGATTTGTTTCAGGAACTGGGTCATCTGTTCTGTGGTGCTTGTTTCAGGAACAGGGTCATCTACTATGGTGATTGGTTTAGGAACTTTGTCGTCTACAACACTGCTTGTTCCAGAAAGTTGTTTCATCTACTCTGATGTTTGTTTCAGGAACTGGGTCATCCAACATGGTGCTGCATCCAGGCATGTCATCTATTACATGTTTGGTTTAAGCAACTGGATCATCTGTTCGGGTTGGAGGAAGTGGGTCATCCATCATAGAGCTTGTGCCAGGAAGTGGGTCATCCATCATAGAGCTTGTGCCAGGAAGTGGGTCATCCATCATAGACCTTGTGTCAGGAAGTGGGTCATCCATCATAGACCTTGTGCCAGGAAGTGGGTCATCCATCATAGACCTTGTGTCAGGAAGTTGGTCATTTATCATAGTGCTTTTGCCAGGAAGTGGGTCATTCATCATAGAGCTCGTGTGAGGAAGTGGGTCATTCATCATAGAGCTTGTACCAGGAAGTGGGTCATTCATCATAGAACTTGTGCCAGGAAGTGGGTCATTCATCATAGTGCTTTTGCCAAGAAGTGGGTCATTCATCATAGAGCTTGTGTGAGGAAGTGGGTAATTCATCATAGAGCTTCTGCACGGAAATGGGTCATTCATCATAGAGCCTGTGACTGAAACCAGGCCTCCAAACTCATTGCTGGTTCTTAGTATTGGTTCATTTGTGCCTGGAAAGCTGCCTTCATCCATAAAAGACAATTGTGGATTCTCTGTAACTCCATCTGTGTTTACCTCAGCAAAAAGTGCTGCTAAGTCCCCAATTGTCATCGTATGATCTTCACCATCATAAGTTGAATCGGAAGTTGACATTGACTTGACCATGTTGTTGATTCTTTGTTCAATAGTTCCACGAACCAGAAACTTGTGAATATGTGTGGGCCTGAAAAATATAACAGATGATGGAGCCACTTTCATAGGGTTTTAAGAATATCATGTGCTAGTGACCTTTGACATATCCTTCATGAGGATCTGTTCAGAAATCAAACAATAAATATTGTTAATAATTCAAAGAATACCACCTCTTTTACATCAGTGCCTTGTATTGGGGGACATTGTATTGTCTGACTCCATAAAATAATTAGACTAATACAGAAGTGCTCTTCATTATCCATACTTAGTTGTGTCACTAATAGAATCTCCCTTCCCAAGCCTCTTGTGCATGCACCAGGCAGGAAAACCTTACCCCTTTCCAACATCTACAACAAGAGTGAGTGAGTGAGTATGGTTTTATGCCGCTTTTAGCAATATTCTAGCAATATCATGGCAGGAGACACCAGACATTGTACCCATGTCGGGAATTGAAACCGGGTCTTTGGCATGATGAGCGAACGCTTTAACGACTAGGCTACCTGCCCGCCCCTCTACAACTAGGAGCAGATTATTGGGGAGGTGGGTAGAACAACAAACAAAACAACCAACCAACCATGGTACTGTCACAGATCCCAAATAAAATCCTCCTCTTACGAACCACAGGCAGAACTTGTTCCATCTGTTGTCAGATGGCAGAAGACGGTGGGCTCCAAGACTGGAAGCCTGCATTTTCCCTGCGAGAATTTCCAAGTGTGAAGATGGAGTGTTGCTTAGGCTTACATTATGTCCAATCTGGGTTGGAGAAGGAAGTCTCTGCGCTCTTGGTAAGGTTTCTTCCAGGAGCACTAGAACATGAGAATGATTGTGCACTCCAAATCCTCTATCTTGTGTGATACTCTTTCCAGATGAAACCTAGGAGGGAAGACGAATGCAAATATTCCCATCCAATCCATGGATGAGCCTTCTACTTGGAGAGCAATACAAAGGGATCATGCACATAGCTGACATATACTTGGAGCTAGTTGTTAAGGCATGTGGTGAATAAGTCTAGATGACGAGTGTCCCACACCAATATTTTCCCGAGAAATACTTCTGGGTGAAGAGACAAGACCACTCTGTCATCACTACTCTCCCGATCTGCTTCATATTGAGTTTTCCTGGAATGTTGACTCGAGTCGATCAACTAGAATATAAACATAGTTTAGTGCATCAATTCAGTTGACTTGGTTCCTCCCTGTCTTTGAATGAATGCCACCACCATGGTGTTGACCGTGGCTACCAGGACAGATGATAGGGATAAATGGAGTTTCCAAGCCTTGATCTCATAGTAGATCGCTCGCATGTCAAGACTGTTTATGTGAAGATCTACTTCATGAGGCTCCAACAGTCCCTATATCAAAAGTCTGTCCATATGCGCACACCATTTAAAGTTGGAACTTCTTTTGAAAAAAGATGGTGTCAGGGTGCTGGAACCTCATGTCTTTGATAGACGATCCTGTAGCATAGAGTGAGTGAGTGAGTGAGTGAGTGAGTGAGTGAGTGAGTATGGTTTTACGCTGCTTTTAGCTTTACTGGACAAATCGAACCTCTGTGAAGTATGAATCTGGCCACCATATACATACTTTTCTGTACCGATTTAAGTTTTGACTTGGTTGGATGAACTTGGAAGCCGATATGAGACAACAGCTGGATCAGACAGATGTTCTGACAAATCTGGTCCATGTCTCGGTTGGCAGAAAGAAAGTCGTCAATGTATTCATCGTATATAATCAAGGTGTGATGGATATCCCGAATGGAAATTACTCGGAAATCGTATCGGCTACTGTTGACTGATAATCATGACATTTTGGTATGCATCCAGGAAGCCAAGGCTGATCTTCCAATCCTGAGTCATGAGTGAAGTGCAAATTTTGCATACAGAGTCCATCTGGAATTTTGGTGGTCCTGAAAGAAATTTATTTTAGAGAACGTTCAGGTCTTTTATCATGCACATATCGATAGTGTTCTTCCTGGGTACCAGGAAGACTGGTGAAAAAAACTTATCCAAAAGTTTCTATGTATGGCACACTTGTCCAAGAGCGCCTTAATTGCCAATAAAGCTGCATGGGACCTTCCAAATTAAATCAATGGCCCCTCTGATAGGGGTTCATTGAAGAAAGTGGAGTTTGTGTCCACACATATGGTCAGATGTGACTTGATCAGACATCCTCCCACAGGTCCTTGAGTTGGGAAGTCCAGGTAGAATGATGAAAGCAGTCCAGTCAAAGCCTTGCCATGGAAAAGTGATTCATAAACAAATGAGGGGCTGCAGTGGCCTGGCTCATGACCATCCTCCTGATATGCTCTGAGATAACCCTTGTTCTACCTTGGGACAGAACATGTTATCTTTGCATCCATGTTAGTTGTGATAACATCCACATTGGAGTAACTGCTCTTGCATCCTCACAATGAAGTCAGTCCAGCCATGCATTAGTCTGAACGAGTCTCCTCAGGTATTCCAACATAAGATTTCTCCAAGAGTAAAATAATGTTGCGTGCACCGGCCACAAACCAGTTAATGCTCTAACATCCATGAGTCGGGTCCCCTAGCTGTTAAAGCGTTCCCATGTCATGCTGAAGACCGGGGTTTGATTCCCCACATGGGTACAATGTGTGAAGCCCATTTCTGGTGTCCCCTGCTGGAATACTGCTAAAAGCGACCTAAAACCAAAATCATTCACTCACTCTAACATCCATGGAATTTGTCGATCCAAGTCCTAGCGCCTAGTCAAGGGAAACAGCGTGTTCCTCTCAGGTGATCTGTTGTACTTGTGGAAAATTCTCATCAAAAATGGGTGAGTCCAGCAAGGGGAACTTATGGATACTGTTCACCCAATGATTCCAAGAGGGAAGTGGTAACTTTTCATTGCTTCTAGGCTTTCCTGTCCAAATATCAATCTGGCTAACACATGATCCACAATTTGGCTACTGGAGGATGTTCCTATAGCTATGGTATGGTACTGGGTCACCACACCCCATGTATGCAACAATTGAGGTATGTCAACATCCTCCGCAGGTTTGATGTCCGGCATGAGATGATAAAGTTCCTCAAAAAGATAGGAGTGTCCAGGCTCATAATTCACTCGTTTCTTAAGTCCTCATCGGATCTCAGGTGACCATGTTATGTGGAGAAGGCCTGCAAGCATTTGTCAAGCATCATGAGCATGCCCTTCTATTGATGCTTCATCATGTCTTGCAACATGGTAAACAAAAGCTGCAGAGCAAACAGCTACAGAAGGAGACCTGGAGCTCTTTACCATCTCAGGAAGATTGCCACTGTTAACGGTGGAGACCGGCTGGACACTTTCTTCTTGGTACCCTCTTTCTTCTTAGCTAAAGACCAAAACTTCAGGATCTTCTGACAATCCTCAGTCAGGAGAGATGAGCACAATATCTGGACTCCTCTGTACAGATAACAAGAAGTGTGAGGATCCCACATGTAGAGCAGACAGATGGAGCAGGAGAAGCCATCTTGCTCAACACAACTGCCACCTAATTCTTTATGAGCAACTACAACCATGTGAAGATTGATTTAGTTGAAACAAATGTTATATTTGGGATAACACAAATATAACATTTGTTACATTTGACCACTTTCTAAATGGCAATGTGTGTTTAATGATTTAGTTGACTAAACATAATTTGACAATCTAAACTATAATACATTTCAACCCCAGAACAGTTATCAGTGTTAATAATTTCAAGAATACTAACTCAATTACATCTTTGCCATAAATTCTGTATTTTGGTTTCAGTCACACTGAAATTTTCAGATTTTCAACAGACGTCCTCTTCAATGTTAATTACACAATTAGTTGTTCCCCATATAGAACTATAACAACCCAAGCTATGACGTGCATAATGGCAGGAATCTCACTTCTTTTTCCCACATCTAACAACTAGAGGTAGATGAATTGGGGAGGTGGGTGGGAGTACCTCTGTTGTAATAGATGTAGTATTCTTAGATTTATTAACAATGATAACTATTGTTTGATAATTCTTGCAAATCCTCTACCTCTATTACATCTTTGCTATTGATGGATATTGTATTAGTTATCATCCCTTGTCTTTTTCTCCACTGGATGAACTTATCCCATCTGTTGTCATATATAAGGGAGGATGAAGGTCGCCATGATCTTGCCACAGCTTCCGGGGCAAGCTCAAAGTACCCGGATGTCTGCATCTTTTGCGTGATAACTTCCAGGCGGTTAGATGGGTAGTCATAACAAATCCTGACAGAGAGGTAGCTGTAGAGGCTCTCCCATTAGGAGACTTAATCTGGGAAACCACGCTCTGCTGGGCCAGATTGGAGCAATGAGGATTATCATGCAATCTGTCTCCTCCACCTTGTGGATGACCTTGTCTAGGAGAGACCACAGTGGGAATGCAATCCAATCCATTGATAGCGCATCGATTTGGTGAGCCCTTGGGTCAGGGACTGGACTGACAAAAACCAGAAGTTAGTGGTTCTGGCAAGTGGCACAAAGACCTGAGGATGTAAAGTTCATTCTGTAGCCACTTTTCTCCCCTGGCAGGAAAGGCTGTTCAGTTTCCCGGGAATATGTCTCGCTTCCATCTGGCAACAGAGTCTGCCAAAGAGTCTGCCAAGGCAAACAATTTTGTAGTCTCCTTCATCAGAGAAATGGATTTGGTTCCTCCTTGTTTCTGGATGTAAGCCACCACTGTAGTGTTGGCCATGGCTATAAGGATGGATGATTTGGAGAGACGTACCTTCCATGCCAGGATGGCGTAATAAATGGCCTTCATTTCCCTGCAGTTGATATGAATGGTCATCTCTCAAGAGTCCCACAATCCCTGTACTGTGAGATTGTCCACATGGGCTCCCCATCCCGAATCTGACGCATCTGTGAATAGATGGTGTTTGGGAGTCGGATAAGTCAGAGGAATGCCACTCATTACATGCTCTCTGTAAGTCCACCAATGCAGGTCCTGTACTATGTTGGGTGGTAACTGAGTCTTGAACTCTAGGGTGTGGGATTGTAGTGAGTTGATCCATGTCTGTAGAGGACG